CTCTCTCTCTCTCTCTCTCTCTCTCTCTCTCCCTCTCTGCCTCTCCCTTTACCACCCCCGACTGTAGCCTCCCGGCACTCTCTGGCCCCAACCCCATTAAACTCCGCCGCACCACCAGCACCCCCGCTCGCAGCTGGGGCCCATCTCCACCCCCTCTCTCTCCCTCTCTCTATCCCTCTCACTCACTCTCTCTCTCGCTCACTTCACTTGGCTGCCGCGCGAAACATGTAATAGCAAACCGTCAGAGCAGCGAGCGGGCGCTATAGGGGAGAGAGAGGGGGGGAGGGGGGGCACGTTGGTCCTACCACGAACCCCCTTTAAGCTTTCAAACCGCTTTGGCTTTCAGCGTACCGAAGAGGAAGGGGAGGGCGGGAGAGGGAGAGACGGGGAGAGCGAAGGGGTCAATGAGGGGAAGACCACCACCGGCACGCATGTTGGGAGAAATTATTAATTGTTATTTTGGCAAAAGAAAAGGTCCGGGCAAAAAACAGTAAGTTTGTCTATGCCTCTTTCGTACATCATAAAAGTCCCGAGAGGAAGAGCTACATTCTCATTTAAATAAGTTTTCCTGAGCATAAAATAGACACAAAAAGAGCAAGCCAAGCCCCCTATACCTTTTAGTTTCCAGCGCGTCGTGTGCATCTTGTTGCGTCGTCCCGGATAAGCAAAAGCATTGGAGATGAAAACGAAATTTGCGAAAAAGGCGAAGAGGAGTGCGGCTGCGGTGCTGGCGCCGGTGGCTCGCGTGCTCGCGTGTTAAAGCGAACGCGTCTGTGAATGCAAGGATGTGTGTGTGTGCGCGCGCGCTGGTGCGCTCGCGCGTGCGCGTCGGGGCGTAGGTGACTGTGTGCGCGCGGGGACGTGCCCTAAGCTCGCGGCGCTTCCAAGTTCCCGGGAGGGGGAAGCCTCCACATTCTCCTCCTCTACCTCCTTGTCCACTGTCCTCTTTTCTCCATCCTTCTTTCTCCTCCCCCTTCCATGATCACCTTTCCCTCTTTCCTCCTTCCTCCTCCTCTTTGTCCTCCTTCTCCTCGACCTCCTCCTCCTCCTCCTCCTCCTCCTCCTCCGCCTTCCTCTCCTCACCCTTGCCGCGCCCCGGAGCATAATCCAGTTCCGGGTGATTGTAGCGGAAGGAACACAGTTGTCGTGAAAAACAATTAGCGAGTGATCAAAGAGTCCCGTTGCCTCGGCGGGGGCGGAAGGGGGGGGGGGAGGACTCAGCCTCCTTAATCAGATATTATCGCACCGCGAAAGAAATGCTATAGTACAATCAAAGTCTAGAATTATTCTAATTTAGAGAGGGTGCGCCGGGGAGGGGATCGGCTCGCTGGATCTGCGGAGGACGGCGGCGACACCGACCATTCCACGGGTCAACGGTTTCGAAGAGTTGATCCACCTGGCTGTGGGTTCCTTCCATTTGGAGAGCCATAATAAATGATGAACATAATCACGATGGCAAGAGGTGTCTTCTGAAACTGAAACGATATTTCAAGGAGAGGGCTCATTTATGACATCCTACATAAAGTGTCACTGCAATCCCCATCCTGAAATCGCGTTTCTACAATCATGTTGTCTAAAGTAGGGGTTGGCAGCGGCTGCCTTGGAGGCCACGCTCATCACCCTGGTCGTGCTGCTTGAGCCTCTCGGGGACCTGCACGACGGACTGCCTGCACGCGGGACACGTCCTGCCGCCCCCGGGCCACCCCCGGGGGGCGCCCAGAAAGCACTGAGTGCCACATTGAGTTACCCCCGGCCCGGCCCGGCCCCAGCCAGCAGCACCCATTGTTCTCAGGCCGGGGCGCGGGCGTTGTTCAGAGGGTGAGACGCGCTGGCGCGCGGGGGCGGGGGCGGGAGTCGACAGGAATGGCCCCAAGGAGGACCGAGGCCGCCGAGGCGAGCATCAGCGCTATGCTGATGTGCGTCGAGGCCGTGTCGAGGTGGGAAAGGTACTGAAGTACAACGCATCAGTGCCTAGGTACCAAGTTACTTTACCGAGCTCTGTACCTTGGTACTAAGTTACTTTACCGAGCTCAGTACCTAGGTACTAAGTTACTGTACCGAGCTCAGTACCTAGGTACTTTACTTAAGGTTCAGTCTGGGTTCAGTACGGTGAGGGCTCTTCAAGGGAAAACAAAAACTGTTCCAGCTCCTGGATCGTCTTTTGCTCCGCGACCTTAATTCTCAATTTCTGGTTCCGGTAGTCCAGAAAGTACCTAGGTATCGATCGAGTTCGGTACCTTTGCAAGGCAAGGTACCTAGTAAACCATCTACTACCTAGGTACCGTACTGCCTAGGTATACTTGCTGGGCATTAACGAGGTACTACCTAGGTACTACCAAGGTACTGCCTAAGAAAATCCCCAAACCTGCTAAAGTGCTCAGAGCCGTGTCTTACCTGTAGATAAGCTTCCGTCGGACGCTGCGCTTGAAGAAGCCGCTGCAGCCGTTGCAAGCCAGGATGCCGTAGTGCTTGCCAGAGCTGATGTCGCCGCAGACGACGCAGGTGAGGCCGAGCGCGCCGCGGTTCTTGGCCGAGCCGCCCGACGACGGCGGCTGCTGCTGCTGCTGCTGCGGGGCGGCGGGGGCGGCGCTGGGCGGCGGCGTCAGCGGCCCGAAGTGGAAGGCGCCCGGCCCCATGACGAGGTGGCCGGCGCCCATGTGCGTGCTGACCAGGCTGCCGGGGGTCATGGCGGCGGGCGGGGGCGGGCCCGAGGACGCCGTCATGGAGCCGCCCTGGTGCCCGCCCTGGCCGCCGCCCTGCTGGGGGCACGCCGAGTTGAGGCACAGCGACAGCGGCCGCGGCGAGCACGAGGAGCCGTCTGGAAAACAAAGACAGTAGAAAGCGCGTCAGAAACCTCTTTCCTTCACAAAATGAGTGTGCCCCTCCAAAATGTCGGGAAAATCAAAGAAAAATCAAGAAAAACTAAAAAAAAATAAAAAATCACCCACCCCCATCTCTTTTCCCGCTCAAATCACCGACCACCCCCACCCTCCTCCTGGCCCCCAACAACACCCCTGTATTTGCGGTGCAAGTGTCAAGATCGGAGGCCAATCGAAAATTAATTATCCTGAATGGATACCCTTCCCCTCTCGTCCTCTCTGCCGCCCTGCTCTCTCCCCCGCGGCCCCTTCTCGCGAGCCGAGCGCATCTGGCATGTAATCGCCCTCCACCCTCCTCCTCCCTCCCCCCTCCCCCTCCTTGACCGGACCTCGGCGGGGGCTTAGCCAGCTCTGCATGGTGTTTAATGACATTTGGGTGAGCTCGGGGCTGGCGGCGGCGGCTATGGGGCTGGCGGCTGGGGAAAAGGGGGGGGGGCAGAACCTCGCGAGTGTTGCCGCGCCATAGCACGCCAGATGATATGCGTTCAATTATATTCCATCAACCAACTCCAACTCCAAGTCAACCCAAAAGGGTTGGAGGTGAAAAACGAGGACCATCACTCTCCGCTGCGGGGCCCCTAGACTAGGGTTGGAAATTTCCAAAATTTTCCAGAAAATTCCCTAAAAATTCCTGAAAATTTCCCGAAAATAACGGAAAACTTTCCCGGAAATTTTCCATTTTTTCCGGAATTATTTTTCCGGAAATTTTCCTGAAATTTTTCAGAAAATTTCCAAGGCTTCCAACTCTACCCTAGACAGATGCTGCCAAGATCCCTGCTGCCATAATCTCAGCTGCTGCTGTGCCTCTTCAAACTTGAAACGCTCCGTTTGACGTTACTACGTAAAACAACGGTTTTTGCTCCAGCGAGCCAGCAGCAGCGGTCCGTCTCAGCCTGGCAGGGTAGGCTGACCCGCGCGACACCGCTGCGCTACAGCAGGACGGGTTGCCTACCCACCAGGCTGGGGGAGGATGGGGGAGAGAGAGAGGGGGAGAGAGGGAGAGGGGGAGAGATCAAAATAAATATTATTGAGGTCCATATTAAAGGACTAGAAGTCTCACTAAGAGAGAGAGAGAGGGGGGGAGAGCAGGGGACAGAGGAGTCGCAACCCTTCCCGTAGTCAGGCGCCACAAGCTGGGGCGTGATGCGCAGCGCGTTCCTCAGCATGGACTCTGTGGACTCCATCTCCCCCGTCCTCCACCG